ACCGGAGTTCATTTGGACATGGACCGGACCCACTTATTCAGAAGTCTCGGTCCGCTTGTTTGGTGCGCGCCAGGGTTCAGATGGCAGCATTCACACTTATTCAAATGAACTGCAGTGATCAGAGCAAATGATCAGAGCAATCGCACCAGTGTTTGTTTTAATCAAACCAAACCTGCCAAATGTGTACGCACCCTAAACCATCTCTTAATCTTGTAGTTACTCTCCATTTAGTCTGTCCGCAAGTTGCATTCCTGAATGCATGCACTCACAGCATGTGCAGAGACGGAGTTCCCTGCATTTACTGTGACCTCAGCTACTCCGAGACAATGAAAACACCAGATCGGAAGCAGCTCTGCTCTGATGAGAAAGTATCCCCTCCTCCCACACACACCCCATTTAACATGATAAACGAGTAGTTTATAAGATCCAAATGCTTCAACTTAAGCAAACATTCTAAACTTAATAGTAAATATCTTTAAACAGTGAGACCTTCAGACCATGACCTAAGCTTTTGGTCATACCATCCACCCCCATATAAGCATACTCACATTCATCATAAAATCCATATATCCTGTTGATGGAGGCACATTCGTGGTTTCCTCTGAGAAGAAAGAAGTTCTCTGGATATTTGACCTTGTAGGCAAGCAGCAGGCAGATGGTCTCCAATGACTGCTTGCCTCTGTCTACATAGTCTCCCAGAAACAGGTAGTTACTCTCTGGAGGATATCCTCCATACTCAAAAAGCCTGAGCAGGTCATAGTACTGACCATGAACATCACCTGCAGAAAGAAATAGAGTTAATTATTATTATTTTTTTAATAAGGCTTCATCAGAACTAAAATAAAAACTGTGTGTATGGTTATCAGAACTTTACCACAAATTTTGAGTGGGGCCTCCAGTTCCAGCAGTATCGGCTGACTAAGGAAGATTTCCCGCGATTTCAGACACAATCCACGAATCTCATGCTCAGTTAACTGAACATTTTTACCAGGTCTGGAGCCCTTCACTAAAAATTGAAACAGAAAAAAAAGCAATTATAAAAGCTTTATGAATAGCATATACATATTTGTGTATGCATCTGTATGTGTGTAAAGAACTGTGTTGTGAGGTCTGCTGTTGCATGACAAAAAAAGCCAACAGGGCCATGAAACATCAGCTCTCTCATCTACTTAAAAGACTGATGTAATAATAAGATGAAGTTTTAAACAAATGTGATGTAATACTAGGCCTATAATACTCTAATGCAACACTTTACATTAACTAAACATGCATGGTATTTTTGTCCCGATGCTACAGAATTGTATTTATTCATATTGCATTGCTTAATTTGAAAACCATAAATATTAGTATTCTTGTATGAATGAGTAAATGCATACATTTTCACCATCTATCCTATATAATCCATAAATTGTTTTATTATTATTAGGTATTTTTTAACACCATGTTAGCATCGGGGCTATTTACATGGAATTTTCAAAGGCGCATCTTGAGAGAAGAGCTGATGTCACATTTGCCCGAGAGATATTTAGCAAGTTAAATGTCTGGACCTGTCTGTGATCTAGTATCTACAATGACTTGTACTAGAATATCCCTTAATGACATGGTTTGAACCCCTTTACTTAGAAATTGTATAGTATTTGCCTATTATCACTATATGCTGAGATATCACATTATGATATGTTCTACAGTTTCAGCTTCACCACAATAATCACATAATCCATTTGGATGTTTTAATACAGACTGGCATTTAATCCTTAATGACTTATGCAGAGTCTGGATATTATTATTTTTTACTGTCATTCTACTTACAGAACCTACTTTCCTTTGTATTGTATTTTTTTTTTTTGCCTCTTTGCCCACTGCTTTGTTATAGTTACTCTCCACTTCCATATGTGCAGGGACCCAATGAAAAAAAATGTATTGATTATTTAATCTATATAACACTTAAAAGTATTTAATATACTATGCCCGGAGCAGCAGTGAGCCTGCACATATTACTCCTCTCTCAAAGTTGACCTCTTTCATCCACTGGAGAGCCAGAAGAATTAAAATAACTGACTAATACTCTCTCTTATGATAGCCTGAAATATAGATATTTATATTCTCCTGTTCTCCTAGTTTCTGGATCCTTTGACCCATCCATGAATATATCTTCCAATGTTGTGTATTTTTGTTTCATGTATTTATTGACAATATACTCAACTCAAAGATTTTTTATTTCCCTTGATTTTAACTAATAGGCTTGTGGCAATGTTGGACAGTGAAGCATCACTGTGGAACGCAGGCAATGACACTTTGACTGTATTTCCTACCATCAAGGGATCAATCAACTGTTGTTGATGTATTACTGTCAAAGGCATTTCTCCCATCTCTACTTGTCAATCGGGTAGCGACCTTAAAGAAGGGGTAATAATAAGGGGGTCAAAACTTGGCACAACACCGGTGATATCTTCCTAGTGGCTTTCTTCGTTTCCGAACGCGACGACTGACGCACTGCGCATGCGCTGAACTTTTGTTCGGATTACATGCAATAAACATACGAATGAAAATTTTAATTGGATTGTTAGTGTTACGTATTTACACCTAATACTACACATCTACACATACGTTCGATTGCAGATGACGAAATGAACGCAAATAAAATAATACGTTTTCAGACGCTTAATCGCTATTTAAACATGATAAAACGGCACAGTTTGCAATAAGAAAGATTAACGCTTATTACCCTCCAAAAGGCGCTGGATGATCGAATCGATGTTTAACTTGTCCGAATCAGCCATTTTGTCGCTCGCTGGAGATTAGCCGGCTAACAGAGGCAGGAACAAGACGACCCAGGAAACCGCCCAGTACAATTATTCGTCAATAACTTAAAAACAAATCCTTATATAAAAAAAGATCACACTACTGATAGTATCCCTGAGTTCATATTATGATATTATTGCCGTGAATGGTTCCTTCAGCAGCTCGTTGCGTGAGGTAACTAGCACCACGACCGCTGACGGTTGTAGGAAACGCTTGAAGGGGCGGGGTAGACACTAAATCGCGTATCTGATTGGTTATTCTCGACTCATGACGAACGCTTCAAATGCATAACCGAAGAGCCAATATGATATTCTGTGTCAATCTTTTCTATATTTAATCGTTAACAAGCAAATTAAAACCACATTAATCAGTGTGTAATCTTAAACAATGTTAACCCTAGTCATTATAGCGATGTAAAAACTTTTATCAGATTGGATGGTTAATATGCTTCATTAACACCGATTGCTAATAATTCATAAAATGTGCTGTTAAAAAATAAATTCGAAATAAAAAATGTATTCGTTCTTCCGCCCTACGGAAGTAACCGAAGATAGAAATGACGTAATGACGCAACCTATCAGCCAATGACGCGATCAGAAAGCGACAGTTCGAATCGTCTGATTCATTCTAAAGTGGCAGAATGTGCAACTGCTGATGCGGAAACGTCACCTAAATCGACGATAGAACATTCTCATTCAAATATGCATTTTGTTTTTGAATAGCTAATCTCTTTGACCATGAAGTTGGCTCATAAAGACATCGAGAAGGATAATGCCGGGTGAGTGTTTGAGAACACATGACTTGCGTCTTTCTGTACACCACTTTTGGACATCATATGCGCATTCTGAGTTGAGTGCTGTGTACCATGATGCAGTGGTGGTATCATTAGGACATCAACTGAGTACTTTGGTATAAATAAAATTGCGATAGTAGGCCTATAATGCCGGGGTCTCAATACTCGGTCCTGGAGGGCAGGTGTCCTGCAGAGTTTAGCCCCAATTTGCCTCAACAACACACCTGCCTGGAAGTTTCTAGTATGCCTAGTGAGACCTTGACTAGCTGGTTCAGGTGTGTTTGATTAGGGTTCGACTGGAGCTAAACTCTACAGGACACCGGCCCTCCAGGAGTTTAGAGACCCCTGTATGATGATTTATTTTTTGTTTGTCGAACTGACTTGAACTTAATTTTTCACTGCAGGACTAGTTATATTCGGTAATAAAGTAAATTTGTAGATTATTATTATTTTTTTAATCAGATTAACTTTTTTTTCTTCATATTTTGCTATATCTTAGTCTGTTTTTCACCATGAAATAGTGAGACAAACAAATCAATGTGAAATCTATTATTTATTGTCATTATTTGAGGGGAAGAAACAATGTTTATGATGCCATTCATGTCAGATTTTAATAATTTTGTTATTGAAAACAAAGTAGATTTCAGTATTTCTCCATTCAATCAGATTGAAGCAGCACTTGCATGATTGAAAATAGCTGCCCGAGTGTGGTCTGACTTGCCTTGGAATAAACTTACTAGGGTTGTGTCGGTGAGGAAATTTTCCCACTGGTTAATCGGCGTGTGACAACACCGATAATACCGGTATCACCGCGGGGGCGGGGCATTCCCTCTTTTCCTCGCTTTCCTTCGCTTTTAAATAGCTTGTATTAGTTTTGTAATATTTATATTATTTTTTATAATATGTAGATGTCCACGTTTGAAAACAGGAATTTACTTTCTTCTGTGAAACACAAAAATATATTTAGCAAATAAATCACTCTGCTTTCTGCTTTCATGTAGTGAAAATGGATGGTAATCACAGCTATCAAGCTCTAAAATGGCCCTTTTCCCTGTATCTGGTATCTTTACAATAATTTACCACACAAACTAAAATAAAAATAGATAAAATTGTGAAAGTGACTTTTTACAGATGCCATGGTTAAGGATGTTTTTAATGCTTTTCTTATTGGTTTGACGAGAAGTGTGAGTAAGACCTAGAAGGCAAGTGGGTACATTTTTATTATTATTATTATTATTATTATGATTCAAGTTACTATATTAGCATTTCCAGGCACTTCAGTTTCATAAGGAAACTATGTAAAGAAACTTGATTTATGAGAAACAGCTGAATTTTGTAGTCGTACTTCAAGTATCTTAATGGCTTGACAACTGAAGTCACCATTCACTTTCACTGCATGGCACAGAGCAGCCATGAGCATACTAAAAAGTTAATGAATCTGATCCAGCTTATCAGTAGTTTATTTGAACCCTGATTCTGCCTTTATTTATAGAGCAGGCATGTGATCCCGCTCAGAAAGCAGATGTGGCTGCTGTTGTGATGCAGGAAGGTCTGGCCAATCTGGTTCTCGTGACTCCAGCCATGACCTTACTAAGGGCGAAGGTTGAGGTCACCATCCCCCGCAAGAGGAAAGGCAGTTGTGCCCAACATGACAAGGTGAACCGATAAAACTTTGTGACAAAAAAATCTGACAATATATTTGTGTTTATCATTATATTGAGCAAATGACAATGACGGTTATCAATAGATGTATAGTTTTTTTTAACTGTAATTCATCAATGTAATATGTTAGGAATACAATAGATAGAAACTATTGTTCCTGTATGTGCTGCAATAGATGCCTCTCAGTTACTGCATGTATATTTCAAAATATGATGTACATATTGCATACAGTGACACTGTGTTCTCTTTCAGGCATTAGAGAGATTTTATGAGGCTGTCATGCAGGGCATTCTGAGACACTTCAATTTTGATGGTAATTTTTTTATTTTTTATTCAGATAATAAGGATGGACAGTGGACAATTAAATACTTCTATTTTTGTTGTATTTATGTGTTTCTCAGTGGTGAAGTGTGTTCTGGTGGCCAGTCCAGGGTTTGTGAAAGATCAGTTCATCTCGTACCTCTTTAAAGAGGCTGTGAGGCAAGACTGTAAAATTCTCCTGGAGAACAGATCCAAGTTCATGGTGGTGCACTCCTCATCTGGACACAAATATTCACTTAAAGGTCAATACTCGGTTCACTTTTTAAAAGTATAGATGTGAAAAACTTTCATAATTGACTAGTAGGAATGCACGATATTACCAGAACGTTATTGGAATCGGCCGATAAAGGCCTAAAATATAAAACTCTGCATTGACTCGATTTGCATCGATGTCGATCTGTCTAATAACTCTCATGTGCTTAGGGTGTGCTAGCGATAAGATCACGTCAGCAGTGTGGTCATTCTTGAAGCAAACTTTTGCCTGAATGGTGACTAGATTGACTGTTTTGGGTCGCCGCATTTAATTTGAGAATGCACGTACAGAATGAAGCGTCCGTTGTGCGATAGTCAACAGTCACTGGCCCTGTCCCAAATCACACCCTAAACCCTCGCGGTCTTCCTCTGAGTCCACACTTTCGTGACGTTATGCCACTTTGACTGTCGGGAAGAAGTCTGCTGTGGAGCACGCCTCCGTGTGGGCTCGGCAGAAGTGCGCTTAGAGGGTGCATAGCAACCGCAAGGGGGCGCTCACAAGCACCCTTCTGACAGCTAAAATGATGAACACCCTACGATCTCGTGGACTTAACGTACATGCGTATGTGGCAGCTATTATAAGTCCACAAGACCGCAAGTGCACATGAAGTGTGCCATTTGGGACAGGGCCACTAGGGCGTGCAGAAGCAGCAACAACTTTATATTTATTTAGGGGGCGCTGTTGGTTGACTTGTAATAAAATGAAAGTAAAATACACAAATAACATTAAAGTGCCCCTATTATGCCATTTTTAAGGTTCCTAATATTGTTTCGCGAGTCTCCTACAATAGGATTACATGCATGCAAGGTCAAAAAACGCTTTCGTTTTCTCAAAATATGCATTTAATGTCACCTCATTTTCAAGCGTGAATAGCTAATCTCTTTGACCATGAAGTTGGCTCATAAAGACATTGAGAAGGATAATGCCGGGTGCGTCTTTCTATACACTACTTTTGGACATCATATGCGCATTCTGAGTTGAGTGCTGTGTACCATGATGCAGTGGTGGTATCATAGGACATCAACTGAGTACTTTGGTATAAATAAAATTGCGATAGTAGGCCTATAATGCCGGGGTCTCAATACTCGGTCCTGGAGGGAAGCGATTTGAAGCAGTTCTAAGATTGTCTCTCTAAACCCCTCCTTTCCGTGAGCCTACTCTGCTCTGATTGGTCAGATGGCTCAGTCTGTTGTGATTGGTCTACCGTGTACATCGCGTGTCGGAACGCCCATTGCCATAATTCTGTATTTTGAACACTTAATAGAAAATATAAACATCTATTTTTTTATCATACTTGCAGATTGTGATTCAGTGATTATATTCGGTAATAAAGTAAATTTGTAGATTATTATTATTTTTTTAATCAGGTTAACTTTTTTTTCTTCATATTTTTCTATATCTTAGTCTGTTTTTCACCATGAAATAGTGAGACAAACAAATCAATGTGAAATATATTAATTATTGTCATTATTTGAGGGGAAGAAACAATGTTTATGATGCCATTCATGTCAGATTTTAATAATTTTGTTATTGAAAACAAAGTAGATTTCAGTATTTCTCCATTCAATCAGATTGAAGCAGCACTTGCATGATTCAAAATAGCTGCCCGAGTGTGGTCTGACTTGCCTTGGAATAAACTTACTAGGGTTGTGTCGGTGAGGAAATTTTCCCACTGGTTAATCGGCGTGTGACAACACCGATAATACCGGTATCACCGCGGGGGCGGGGCATTCCCTCTTTTCCTCGCTTTCCTTCGTTTTTAAATAGCTTGTAAAAGCGGTGTGCCCATTTTACTTTCACTTTAAAATAGCGGCAGTTTGGCGTCAATTGCTTGAATGCAACAACAAAATACAACGTCAAACTCACTTTAGCCTATATAAAACATAGAACTTTTATTAACAAAACAAATAAAAATACACCATGCTATAGGGCAAGCCGCCTAATATAAAATAACAAATCCGGCCAACGTAGAAGATAGGTGGGAATTAAGCAAACGTGTTAGCCATCACAGAAGTGGGATTCATATTACTAACGAACGACTCGTTTAGGCTGTACAGAGTCGATTCTTTATTTTGGGAGACAATGACTTTATTACAAGGAAATCTTTTGCTTTAGACCAGGGTGTCAAACTCAATTCCTGGAGGGCCGGAGCCCTGCAGAGTTTTTTTTTTTTTTGACGTAACCGGTGTTGCGGCTTAACACCGGTATCACCGTCAGCACCGTCTATCGCGGCAAGCCTAAAACTTACATGAGCAAAGTAGGCAACACAAATGTGAAAATTTCTGTCTTCTGTTTGTGGATTTCTTCCAGTCAGGTGACACTAATACCTGAGGAAGCAGAGGATATGTGGCACACCTACAACTTGCTGCATGTGGGCGACAGCCTCAGAGCCTCAACCATCAGGTCTGTCTCTTTTTTTTTATTTTTTATTGGCCATACTGACCTCCATCTTTTTCCAGTTTTGGTTTATCACCCTTATTATCAGATATTTTTCTACTCGATGAAAACAATCCGATGTCGCAAACAGGAAAGTGCAGACAGAGTCCTCCACAGGCAGTGTGGGCAGTTCACGTGTGCGCACCACACTGACTTTATGTGTGGAGACAATAGACTTTGATTCCCAGGCCTGTCAGCTCAGAGTCAAAGGAACAAACATCCAGGAGAACCAGTATGTGAAGGTCAGAGTGCATTTAGAATTGTTTACTTTCTGGAATATTTAACTTCAGCTTTTTTTTTTTCTCAGCATTTTTTTCTTCATATTTCAAAAGTTTGTTGCCCTTCTCACTTATGACATAGAAATGTATGTAAATGTATGATATAAATAGTGTGTTAAAATTTGTGCTAACATCTAAAATAGAATTTATACTTTATAAATTTGAATATTAAGGTGAATAACAGATACTTACCCTCAGGGAGTAGTCCATATGTTAATTTAGCCTAAATGTGAAAGCTGGAATGAAATGAGTCATGTTTCTTCTCTTGTGTCATATGCAGATGGGTGCCTATCATACCATTGAGCTGGAGCTCAACAGGAAGTTCACTCTCGCCAAAAAAGTCTGGGACAGTGTGGTGTTGGACAGAATTGGTAATGTGTTGGTGTGTTTTTAGTGTATTTTCTGACTAAAATGAGCTTTTCTGGCTGATAACAATTTCACATACTATGTAGCAAAATTAATAAGTAAAATGCTGAACTATTTTATAAAAATAAAGAAAAATATTAAATGTTTTTTAAAATTATTTTAGTTTTGTAATATTTATATTATTTTTTATAATATGTAGATGTCCACGTTTGAAAACAGGAATTTTTTTTTTTAAGAATCTCTGCACTGGAGAGACTTGGTGTTGTTTCCAAAAAAAAGGAAATATATCAGTATCTGCATCAGCTCTTGGCGAAAATTAGGTGGAAAATATCGGCATATCCGTATGTCGGCAAAAATCCAATATCGTGCATCCCTATTGACTAGTAGGCTTGTTAAATTTTACGGTGATACCAGTAATAAATGGTATAAGGGAGGAGACTGTGAAAATGGCAAAACCTGAATAAAACTTACAGTTCTTCAATGAGTAGAATAGCATTACATAATGTAACATCGCCTAATGAAGAGTTTGTGACTCGTAAAACTATAAAATAACGAAACATTGCAGAGGTATTGATCTAGCTGCTTTTCAAAGTCAGGACAATTGTCAACAAAAGGTATCTGTTTGGCAAGATGGTTGAGATCTGGTGGACAATACAGAATTTGATCTGATCGGTTTAATCTTTTAGTTTTATTTTTTATTATTTAAAATAAATTAAAAAGAAATACATCAATTAAGATATTAGATATTAAGCAAATAAATACTCAAAATTATTTTAATCATTTGTTACACAAAACATTCATGCTCCAATATAGTGGTCCAAAATTGCTTGGTTTAGAAATATTATGAAAATATGTTTTCTACTGCAACTATTTATTAAAATGGTCATCTGTTTGACACACACCAAGTGAGCAAACAACACTGCAGCATGCCATGAAGTTGTGGATTCTGCATACTAATGGAAACACTGAAATTCATTGTTGAATGCAGTGAAATCAGTCTCTTTGACTAACCACATGTAAGTGCAAATGTGTGTGATATCTACATACAAACATTTTCTCAAACTTTCAAAATAAAATTTACTGTAAATTTCTGAAAAAAACAAAAAACAAAACAAGGGACCACCGAAAACACACAAAAATCACATTCTCATGGTGACATTATAAACGTGTTAAAGATTTTATGCATATATATTTAATCCTACATATTTCATATTATATATAGATGGATAGATATGATTTATCCAAATTACTAACCTTAGGCATGCATGAAAATAATACATAATTAAAATGCTTAAATATGCTGTCATTCGGGAAAAAAGAGCATTTGATTGGACTAATTTTTTACATTTGTGTATCTGCTTGAAGATTTTTTTTTTTCCATTGTTGTTTTAAAGTGACAGTATAAACGTGAGATTTTACTTCTACAGAAGTGCTTTGTGATCCAGCAGTCACTGCCCGATTGTCTGACACCAAGGTGACTAAGTTTGGATTTGTACATTTGCACATATAGCTTGTAGCATTCTGCAAGCACAGTGTGTGGTATTTAATGCTGTGATTTTATTTTTTTTATTTTTTCTGTTTTAGGCAGCTGGAGAGGTCAAGGCTTTGGAAGACTTTTACAAGATGCTTCAACAGGAGCCTGATCGAGCTTTCTATGGGTGATCAAAGTCACTACCATTTAAATTCATTCTTGTCAATATTACACAGAATCTCAATGAGAAGAAAAAAAATTAAATGTTTTTTAAAATTATTTTAGTTTTGTAATATTTATATAATTTTTTATAATATGTAGATGTCCACGTTTGAAAACAGGAATTTACTTTCGTCTGTGAAACACAAAAATATATTTAGCAAATAAATCACTCTGCTTTCTGCTTTCATGTAGTGAAAATGGATGGTAATCACAGCTATCAAGCTCTAAAATGGCCCTTTTCCCTGTATCTGGTATCTTTACAATAATTTACCACACAAACTAAAATAAAAATAGATAAAATTGTGAAAGTGACTTTTTACAGATGCCATGGTTAAGGATGTTTTTAATGCTTTTCTTATTGGTTTGACGAGAAGTGTGAGTAAGACCTAGAAGGCAAGTGGGTACATTTTTATTATTATTATTATTATTATTATGATTCAAGTTACTATATTAGCATTTCCAGGCACTTCAGTTTCATAAGGAAACTATGTGTCAATATTAGAATCTCAATGAGAAGAAAAAAACAAAACAATGGTAACACTTTCTTTTGATAGTCCACTTTAGACATTCTACTAACTGTATGAAACTTTGCAACTACATGTCAACTACCAGCCATTAGAGTATTAGTAGACTAATATCTGCTAACGCTTTATTTTGAAGGACCCCCATCAGACTTTCTACAGACTGTAAGTATCTTTGCAAGTATGTGTCAAATTATTCTACTAACAGTCTACTAATACTCTAATACACAGAATCTCAATGAGAAGAAAAAAAAACAAAACAATGGTAACACTTTCTTTTGATAGTCCACTTTAGACGTTCTACTAACTGTATGAAACTTTGCAACTACATGTCAACTACCAGCCATTAGAGTATTAGTAGACTAATATCTGCTAACGCTTTATTTTGAAGGACCCCCATCAGACTTTCTACTGACTGTAAGTATCTTTGCAAGTATGTGTCAAATTATTCTACTAACAGTCTACTAATACTCTAATGAGAGTTAGTTGACATGTAGTAGCACTAGCAACGTTACTTCTATTGATAGTAGAATGTCTAAAGTGGACTGTGTAACCAAAATATTTGTGCTATGTAACATGTTCTTGAGACATTGTTTTAAACAGTCTTTACATCTATTAATAAAGCTTTTGCTCTGTGCAGATTGGCTCATGTGGAAAGAGCGAGTGAAGCTTTAGCCGTTGACATCTTGATGATCAGTGACAAACTATTTAGGTACATTTAAAAAGTAATACAGTCCTAATGTAATGGTCTTTTCTGTTTTAATTGTGTACTTCATTAAAAAAGTGTGTGTGTGTGTATATATATATATATATGTATGTGTGTGTGTGTGTGTGTGTGTATTTTTTCTTTTTCATGACAGACATCAAGACATAGCCACCCGCAGCCGGTATGTTCGGCTTGTAGACAACGTGAAGGAAAATGGAGGAAATGTCAGGTATTCTTATGATTTTCAATCCAGTAAGGCCATATTCTTATATTATGCAAAATATTTAGCTCTTTTTAAATTTTTGTTTCTCCTGTTTAATAATATTTTTTAGAATCTTCTCAAGCCTACATGTATCTGGAGAACGTAAGTTTCATTTCTATAGTCTTTGTTTCAGAGAGAATTATATTGGATCGTCATGTGACTGACATGTGATTTGTCTCTAGAATTGAATCAGCTGAGTGGAGTGGTGGCCATCCTGAGGTTCCCCATCGCGGACATGTCTGAAGCTGAGGAGGAGAGCAGCTCTGATGAAGACTAACATCATGCTCTTGTGCAAAAGGATTTGGTATGAAAGGGTGGAAATGCTTCACAGTTTGGACTAAATGGAATGAAACTCAGTTATGGCCTTAATAAAGGTTTTGAAATAAGTTGAAACCTCACAAAACACCAGTATAATTGATTATTTGGAGTGATTATTAAGCTGGAAAGCTGAAGAATGTTAAAAAGAACATATATTACTCTATAAATCCTTATCAAAGATGTATAATAATCCACATTGCAAAGTGGGTACTCTGCAGTCTTTGAAACAACATTTAATTGTTAATAATTGCAAATTAATCTAGAGTCTTAAGGCATTTTAGATCTGTGGATTATTTGCATAGTTCCGACACAGGTACTTAAACTGCAATGCATTCTTGCAAAGCACCTGTTTCAGAGAAGAGCAATTACGAATGGAAAACAAACCAAACTAAGGAAGAAAATGTGCACGTTTCGAAACAAATGCTCCAAACGAGCCAGGTTTGAAAACACCCATAGTAAATGTTCAACTGTTTCTCTATATGCACTACTCAGAATAACACCCATTTGTGCCAATTTTGAAATTCGTTCTCAGAGGTGATTAGATTCTATTCAGAAATTGCTATGCATATTTGACCAGTCCTTTGTCCAACGTCACAGTTTGTTACATACGGAAGTGGTGGCAAACATACCCAAGTAGTCACACTTAAAAGGCCAGTGCTAAGCATAAACACGATGCTATAAATTCTATTTACAATGTCACACACTTTAGACTCCATTAGCGATACAAACGCAAGTTACCTAGCCATGATGCAGGAGCAGTTTCCAGTCAATATGTAGCTTAGATTTATTGTAGCTTCTTTGATGACGGTGACTCTTATGGTGCATTCAAGTCATGTAGGAAAGATCATTTTTATGAATTTAATGCACATAAATTAAATTCCCTCAGTGCCGCCAATACGACTGATTCTTGTGAATGCTTGGTTATTCGCACACTATAAACTAACACACCCATTATCAATTCTATTTGTTGTAGCTGTGTTTCTTACATCATACCAGTGTCTGCCTGTTATGTTTTTACTCTTCTACGATTTTTAATTGTAACCGTAGCAAACCCACAAGAGTGGTCAGGTGTTAATGGTAACAGTCAAAGTCTTACAGTGCTAAGTGGCATACTTAATGTGGTGTACTGAAAAGTAGCTAAATAAACCAGCAGACAATGCATTTACGGAACAGAATGTTATTTTAACAACAAATTATTAAACGCACATCTAAAACAACCACTCTTAATCTATAACTAGCTAATTGAGGCATAATGATATTGGAATATAGCAAAGACCCCAAAGGTAGGCTAACTGCTGTTATCAGTAGCAAGTTTATGAAACAGAAGCTTAATTTTATTACAAAAATAATATAATAGGTAAGTTATTTTTACACAGAAGACAAAAACTTTAAAATAAAAAGTAGCTAAATAAAATATTATAATATATGAAGATGTCAAGGCTGTTTACGGATGTTTAATCAAAAATGAACTTCCCTAAAACAAGAAGGTACCCTAGGCTATGCTAATTAACTAGTCAGCCAGGCCCCCCCTCCCACTTCACCCCAGGTTCAATTTGTACCCCCTCCACTCCTGAAACGCGATCGATTTTAAACACCCTTTCACACGGGACGCGGCAGTCGCAATTGTCTAGTTCATTTTCACACGGGTTACTAATATATTGTATTCAATTTACAGCACCTTCACAAATTGAACAAAACCATAAAAAAAAGCAAAAACACACCTAATGTGCATTTCTTATTCATCATTTTGTAGAAGTAGAGTTAAAAATTCTGCCTTTTTTTTTTTTTTTTTTTTGTTGAAAAGGGTTTATTTAGCTGACCAAAACTACATTTTAGTCTTGTCTTTTTTCGTCAACAATATTGCATGTTGACAGTCACATTTAGTGTTTAATGTTAGTGTTTAAGGTTGTCAACAAAGGTTTTTTTTTTTTTCATTAACAAAACCAACACTGTTTTGCAGTTTATAATTGTTGCTTGTTTTATAGATGGTGCTGCAGCTATAAATGCACTAGATGCAGCTTTAGTGTCTTTTTATTATGTAAGCGGTGTTTCTGATTCTAGAGAGTAGGTGATTGCAGAAAATCTATAGCTTATAGATTACAATAAGGCTAACATACTTTTACTAAAATGCCAGAAATGTTAATTTTGATTTCTTTAAATAAGAAGCTTGTGATTTACATTGATACATTTAGCAGATGCTTTTATCCAAAGCAACTTACATTACGTTGCATTCATAGCACACATTTTATCAGTAATTGCTTTCCCTGGGAATCGAACCCATGACCTTAGTGTTACTAGCGCGATGCTGTACTGTTTGAGCTGAAGAAAGGTTATTTTATGATTCTCCCATAATTGAACAAAAATAGAAAATGGAAATGTAACTCCTTTACTTGGTACATTTATGCAATACCATGAATGAGAAAATCTATTTTAAAATCTATTTAAAATCTACAGCGTACTGTAAAACTGCATCATACTGTTTCATCTCGAGTTGTGGCATATTGGGGAGAGCGGGGTGATTTGAGCCTGAGGGGAAGTTGAGCCACCCCTTGTTTCTAGAAACTTTAAACAAAATTGGTGATATGACCACACATATTTGAATATTTAAGCATTTTACTCACCCTGTGATGGAGAGAGGCCCATGGAATATTTGGTAACTACATTTAGGTTCAAAAAACTTTTTTGCTTTTTAAAGTGATGTTTGTATTTTCAAGGACTCGTGCTTCTTGTGTCTGAACAATTACAAATCTGAAAAAAAGGGGGGGAAAAAATCACACGTGTTTGTGCTTTAGAAGGGCTGACCAAAGTGACTTGATTGTACCTGACATTGTAATTACGACTTCCCAGGAGGACTTGACCACATCATTACACATCACTGTCATGGCAGTAGCTCTGATCACAATACACATGTTGCCATGTAAAGGTTATATAAGAAATTATTATTATTTTTTTTCTATCATTTATACACGTAGTTGCAGTTTCACTTCAGCAGCAGGCTAATAGCACAGACAGTGCACATACTTTAAAAGGCTGTGCATTTGGCTGTATTCTAGCATTTGTGTCAAAAGTAAAGTATTCTTAAACTGGGCTTAAAGGGACTCCTACGTTGAGTAATTTCTTATGGCAGCCATAAATTAACACTAAACCTCAAATTACATCTGAATTTAGTCAAAATATTTGTGTACCTGTCACTGCTATAAAATTATGAAGTCCAACTGGTGTCTCTTTTTTTTTTTTCTCTGATGGAGAGAGGCCCATGGAATATTTGGTAACTACATTTAGGTTCAAAAAACTTTTTTGCTTTTTAAAGTGATGTTTGTATTTTCAAGGACTCGTGCTTCTTGTGTCTGAACAATTACAAATCTGAAAAAAAGGGGGGGAAAAAATCACACGTGTTTGTGCTTTAGAAGGTTATAATATGAGGCTATAATGTTAGCATGGTTAGCTCTAAACTGCTGGATGATACAAATTTGTTAAAATGGTAGGAGTGGGTTAATTTGAGCCAAAGGTCCTGGGGTAAGTTGAGCCAGTGGCTCACCCCTTCTCACATTTTTACATTTTACGTGCCATAAGGGTAAATTTGACCATCAGCTTCCTGTGCAAGTTGTCAAATTTTACAGTATCGAAAATATGAGTGCATACTCTCAAATGTATTCTAATTTCCCCACATGTGCCCAGATGGTATACTTCAGTGACTTACAGAGAAAGACTTTGAAAGACCTTCAAGTCCAGCTGGTTTAATTCAAGTAATATTTTATATTGATATACATTTCATATTTGACATATGTAGCACCATGTAAATAGAAAGCATCAGATTCATCGACGGTAGTGCCGTCCAGAATACAATCTTTTGGATCTGATTTTCGAAACTTGAAGGATAAAGTGCAATATTTCACATTTGATTATTCAATATTCAATATTTTGACAAAACTTCACCAAAGAAAGCTTGTAAGAAACAAAAATTGTACTCCTTTTTAAAGAGCTCTCACAAAGCTTCACTTTTTATTTTATTTTTTAGGATTTGCACCATGGTATTCTGTGTTTCTCAACTCTAAAATGGGTTGTAGGTCTGTTTTAATATAGCAGCAGGGAAAACGGCACAGGGCAACTAACCATATTGTGCATGCATAAAATAGTCAGATATTAGACTATCAGCCAGATAGTAACAGACTCTCCCTATCTTTTGTTGTTGTCGTCCAAGGTTGTATGCCATTAACATCTGTAGTGCAAATTCATGTCAATTGGTAGCTGTAAATATGTATTTCAAAGAAGGTACCATGGCATAAACAACTGATATCACCACTTTACCGTAGTGCCATCACACTTTGGGTTTTACAGTAATTTCCCTGCAGTTCTTTAAATATCATGATGAATTATCAGTCTTTAAGTTTATTCACTGGGACAGTGATATCCCTTTAACCATGTTAAATCCTCCAGCGTGCCCCAGTGTAAGTACACAATGGACAGGACGACCATGATGTGCATAATCTGGTGACTATTAAACCAGTAGTCAAACCGTCCAGGACTGAAGCGCTCTGGAAGGCGGGAAATATTGACTAGTCCTCCTAGCAATGCAAGAGTATCCATGGTGAGGTAGAGGCGAAGGGCTGCGGGGCTTCCTCTGCCTGCACCAGTCAGACGCAACATAAAGAGAACGAACCGGAAGATCGCCTGCCAGGCGAAGGATTGCAGGCGGTGCACATTACTCTGGGCAGAGACAGCGCAGTGAACACCGTAGCCAGAGAGAAGGAGATATGCCAACATCGCCACACGGCGGGATGATGGGTAACACAACAAAGTTATGTGAATAATTGGCAGAGCACCTGCAAAAAGAAAAGTACAGGGAATTAATTGAATAATGGCCCTTGAAAGAATCAACAATCAGTGTCCCCTGCTGAAAAGAAAAAAAAATGATAAAACCAGCCTAAGCTGGTTGGCTGGTCTTCCAGCCTGGCTGAGCTGGTTTTAGCTGCTTGGTCAGCTAGTCTCCCAACCAGAAGTGGGCAAAAGCCCTCTAAAACCAATCAACCAGCTTAGGCTAGGTTTAGCTTTTTCTTTTTTCCAGC